CTTTCCCTGTATTTATAAATTGGACGTGTAATGTAACACATCACTATCTTGCAAGAAAAGTGTGAAGGCAGATTCCTTGTCATATGAGAGATGCTCAGAAACTATAGAGTTACCAAAGCTCTGAAAGAGCAATTAGATTAGATTCCCATGTGGGATTAATGCTGTGCCTCTATTTACCGTCTGCACTCCTTCAGTCAACACGGAGTCACACAAGAACATGCAACTTTTCACAGTTTTAAAAGGCAGATGGATTTTGTCAGCGCACCTATGATCTTAATTCTGTTCCCTATATGAGACATCCATCCAACCTGGTATTGCCACACCACACGCAATGAAAACTCTGGGTAGGACCCCAACAACCTCTGTTATACATTTAGCTTGGAGTTGCATTATCTGTGTGATACTTGGTCTCAGCTAACAGTAAAACACAACTAAGCTAACAAAAATCATTTGTGCTGTATGTCCCATAGATAGGCCAAAGAAAGTGTAATTCACAGTACTTCTGGGTCAAATTCTGAACCAAAAGGATAAACTTGGTTTTTCCATTAATCAGCAGTTGCAAATAGGAACATAGACATCTCTCCACAACAAATCACTGGCTCCACTGTTGTCCTTAACACAAATCTTATTTTAGGGCTCTGCACGCTATAAAAATCTCATAAATAATTGATTACTTGGAAAACCATTCTGCGAGTCTCACTGACTTCAGTGGAAATGCACGTGAAACAACAGAAATGGGAAATGATACATGGGACTGTGCGAACGACAGCCAAGTCTCTATCACCGCCCCGGTCTGGCGTGGGTGGGTGACTTTTGTTGCCATCTACCAAAACAGGAGGTTTACATTTCAGTGTTCCAGCTTTTGTGTGTTGATATTCTGGCATATCACATAGTTACTCCTGTAAACCATTGGTAGATGTTTTAAAAATTGCACATTAAGGGAATAAACAGCTTGTGGGAGGGAAAAACCACAAAACTGAAATGAAAATAAGATGATTCCAGGGCACCCTGCCCTGCAGCGGCCAGGGCATTGCACAGCAAATGGCAGAGATTTTCAGAAACTCATTATCACCCTCTTCTGATGGACTTAATTTGTCCTCCAAGGTACTGAACTGTATTAATAGCAAACATTATAATCCCCTATTGCCTTTTGCAGTCTCATATCTTCCTAAACATGTCACCACTCCTGGAGCTGAAATGTCTAATGCTTACAACTTTCAACAAACATGATTACTTGTCATTAGCTTGCAACAGTACTCCCCTAAGCCCTTTTTATGTTATGCTCACATTTATTCTTCGCTATTCCCGACTTCTTCCCTCCACGTTAGGCAATATTGACGAGCATCTACACTGAAAAATTAATATGGTCCAAATTCTCAGGGCTGAAGCCATCAAAAAACTTATTCTTTTCTTATGTTACCAAATGCATCATGTCAGACAGTTGTTCTTAGTCCAGTGTGACTGTGTGCATATGTTAACATAATTATAACCTATTGAGAGATGGCTATGTTCAAACCCAGTTTAAAAAAAACAAATACTGACAATATTTGTATAGGTAGTAATAGGCACCATCCTCTCAATGTACTCTGTGCACTACACATAAACTGCTGAGTTTACAGGGCCTAAATATTTCAGAAATGCCCTTGGATTAAAGATAAGCTGCTGTGAGTCCTTAAACTCCTGTGAATTCTTGCCTTCTGGAGAGTGAGACAGAAGCATGTTAATGCCACACATTGATTGCACAGTTAAAATAACAGTGCCAGGATATGCAAGAGAACATTCCTTCAGTGTAATTAATCCAACCACATCACATTTTCTAGTGCCTTCTGTGTTAAATGAGGACCAGAAAATAACACATCAGCTGGCACAGAGTCATTCAGACCCTGCCCTGCTTACTTTTAAAATTTCCACTCCCTTGGTACATGGATAACCATGGTTTTGCTTTGACTTCAATCCTAGAAAAAGAAATCACAGAATTTCTGAAAGAAATGAAAGACAGCAAAATCCTTCCAAAAATTGTCATAGTGGAATTCATATCTTCACTCACAGATGCTTGAAACATAGGTGTCCACACTAAGATGATCACCGAGATTGCTATTTATACAATGGAGGCAGACAAGTACTTCCAAAAGGCAATCTACCCCTCCCTAGGTGAAATGCTGTTGACCAACATCACCAGCACAACAGGGCTAACACTGGAAGTAGCTCAACACTCTCACTCTGCAAAACACATCATTGTCATGCATTAGCCTTGTTCGGGTAAGCAAGACTTGGCTATTTCTCATCCCAGGCAGAAGTCTGTCTGCTTTTCAGCTGCAGAGACATCCCCTTTGGAGATAGTGGCAAAGCTTCCACAAAGCTTTGAATGCAGAGCAGGAGCAACCCCTTGTCTACAGACAATATTTTTAATCTACCAAAATAAACCAGATAGCCTGACGGGATGGGAGGTCTGCCCTTTATCTTGTCTCTCCATCAATCTGTCTGGGTGAGACAGAGCAAGAGCCCATTCCCTTTTGCAGTCTGACTGGACACTAGTGATAGGGCCATAAATCAGCTAAGTGAATAAGCAAAACATTTGGGAGTCACAGGATTTGGAGGTACTAGTGGTGTCACAAGAAGTTATTTATGAGGTTCAGACAGTGGAACACACAGACAAGATGTGACATAATTGCTGGCAGAGACTGGTGAGCAAAATTAGCCAAACCTGTAGACTGTAGAGAATTGACAGGCAGTGAGTGGTTCATACAGACGGGATGGGTCCAGAGGCATGGGATGTACCACGGATGTTGGCACAAGCACAGTAAATGTGGAGTACAACGCCCTTAGCACAGACCACAGTAGAAGACTTGAATCATCGTTGTAGTAAATAACCAGCAACAGATGCAGCATTCTATTTCTCTTTGTAATTCATAAAAATCAGGACAGTCCCGACACAGTGAATGTTCTAAACAAAATACCAAATTGCTGGGGGCTCAGTCTCCAGTTCTAGCTCTGCTTTACACCAGAGGACCCAGATACTCACTGAGAAGAAGGATCTCTCACCTAAAAATTCTCTTTTAGGTTTGGGTGGGCTTGCTTTGTTTATTTGTTAACTTTAAGTAATATTTTGAGCTTGAGCCCTCCCATTTCAGAAGATTTTTAAAGGAAAATGTTAAAGACACTGGTTAGAAGTTCAGTTCACAGAACTGAAGGCCAGCAACTGCAGAAGTGCAACTTCATAAAATCTTCTGAGCAGGTCACAGAGGGGGAACGTCACAAGCACTCCAGTGATGAATGGAGGTCTTGTGTAGAGTGGGGAGGAATGTCCAAGGATCAGATTTTGTGTGACTTATCCCTTTGGTAAATCTATACTTGACTTGATCTTCTCTTCTGCCTCAGGGATTATGAATATAACATAAGTGATTGCTCATGCTGTCCACAATTTATGTATGCATACACCAGATACTCTATAGCTATTTATTTATTAAAGTGGCATGGACACAAAATGACAAAAGGAGACACACACCCTCTATATTTTCTAAGTGAATGAAAGCAATTAAGCCCTAACAGCAGTGAACAAGACAATGAATTCATGTCAGTTTGGTGAAGCAGGTATGGGGCGACAACATAAGAACAGGTCAGTCTGTTCTTTTTGATGTCCATAACATACCCATAAATTCTTTCATAACGCAGACATGCGTTTTCATACAGTCAAGAAATTTACAGCAAATATTGCAGAGCAAATACAACAGAGTTTTACTAAATGTCCAGAAGAAAAAACAGCATATCCCTACTTGCTGTCCCAAGAAACAGTGCCTCCAAGATAACAAACATTAGAAACCATAGTGTACCTGTGCTA